CTGTATCTATACCTCGGAGTTACCCTGACCGCGATAAGCGCCGTACTCGTTCGGGAGGAGAATTTGAATCAACATCCGATCTATTACACAAGCAAAGCATTACATGAAGCTGAGGTCCGTTACCCACAGATCGAGAAGTTAATCTTCGCCCTGGTGACGGCTTCGAGGAAACTCGGGCCGTATTTCCTTGAACACCGGGTGACCGTCTTGTCAGCCTATCCTATTCGACAAATTCTCCACAAGCCTGATACGTTGGGACGAATGATCAAGTGGGCCGTAGAGCTTGGGCAGTTCGATCTCCAATATAAACCACGGACGGCGATAAAGGGACAAGCATTGTCCGACTTCATAGCCGAGTTCACAACGGGAGCCGAACCAGTCTAAACTACAGAGACTTGGGAGATGTATATAGACGGATCGGCCACAACCGAAGGATCTGGGGGAGGAGTCGTGATCGTCAGCCCCCAAAGAAAGCTATATTGCCATTCGGTCCGGTACCTGTTTGCCGCGACTAATAACGAGTCAGAATACGAGGCACTATTATCCGGCCTGGACTTGGCCCACTCGATGAACATCACGGATTTAAAAGCATACTCAGACTCAATGTTGTTAGTAAAGCAAATCTCAGGGGAGTTCGAGACGAAGGAAGCCCGCCTGGTGCCATATTTACACCTAACTCGAAAGAAGATAGCGCGAGCGAACATTCGGCTCGTGCACGTTCCCCGGTCAGAGAATGCCTAGGCGGACGCACTCGCACGGTTGGCATCCAGCAGAGGAACTGACGAAATCGAGTACGTTTACACTCGCCATCAGGAGAGGCCGGCCGTTCAGGTCGAGCAAATCATGAGGATTGAAGAATCGGTCGGTGCCACAACATCCGGATGGATGGATCCGATCCGATCGTATTTGGAGAAGGGAGAACTTCCCGCAGACCTTAAGGGTGCTCGGTCATTAAGGATCCGAGCGGCAAGATACACGATCATGGCAGAAACGTTATACAAGAGGGGCTATTCGAATCCATTGCTCAAATGTGTGGACGACGAAGAAGCCGAACGAGTCATGAGAGAATTCCACGAGGGCGTATGCGGGAACCATTCGGGGGGACGAGCGTTGGCGCACAAAATACTACGACAGGGGTATTACTGGCCCACGCTGAAAAGGGACACGTTTAACCTAGTCAGGAGGTGTGTTAAGTGCCAAACATTCGCCCCTAACTTAAAGCAGCCGGTTCAACCGCTTACCTCAGTTTTCAGCCCCTGGCCGTTCGCCAAGTGGGGAATCGACTTAATCGGACCCTTACCTACAGGCAAGGGAGGAGTCAAATACACGGTCGCAGCGGTCGATTACTTTACTAAATGGGCGGAGGCCGAGCCTTTGGTCACGATAACCGAGCAGAAGATGGTCGACTTCTTGTGGAAATCAATCGTTTGCCGATTTGGTATTCCCCATTCTGTGGTAACTGATAACGGACGACAGTTTGAGGGAATGAAATTCGGCACGTTTTGTGAAGAGCTGGGGATTCGACATCATTTCTCTACCCCTTACCATCTGCAGTCAAACGGGCAAGTAGAGGCAGTCAACAAAATTATTAAACAAGGTTTGAAGGTACGACTGGAAAGCTCGAAAGGGGCCTGGCCGGAGGAGCTCCCGAACGTCTTGTGGTCATATCGGACCACACCAAGATCGGCGACGGGAGAAACACCGTTCTCGTTAGCATATGGGGCAGAGGCAATGGTCCCGGTCGAAATCGGGTCCGAAACGTATCGAGTAAAGAATTTCGAAGAGGAAGCGAATAGCGAGGGATTGCGAACGAGTTTGGACTTAATAGAAGAAGCAAGGACGCAAGCCGAACTAAAGAACGTAGCATACAAACGGGTGACCGAAAGACACTTTAACGCAAGAGTCAATTCTCGTCTCTACCGAGCGGGAGAACTAGTTTTGAAGAGAGTGACGGGACCGGATCCGGGTCCCCTAAAACCAAAATGGGAAGGACCGTATCAAGTTGATGCCGTACTTAAGAATGGGGCCTACCGATTGAAGTACTTAGATGGAACCCCGCTGATGTATCCCTGGATTGCCATGTATTTGAAGAAGTATTATCAATAAAGAGTGTTCTCGTCCGATCAAAAATAAAATGACCCCAAGTAGGGTAACAACCG